TATCAATTGATGGATACATTGTCCAGATAGAATAACAGATAATCTGTGCCAAGTTTTCAGATGACACCCACAACTGGCAGTGTCAAAGGCTTACTGCAAAAAAAACAAAGTGTGACGGAAGCACTGGAAACTCCTCTTTAGCTAGGATAGGGTGCTTGAGAAACTGTAGTAATTAAGAAAGATTAGGCCATTGCCATGACCGTTCTTTAGTAAGGAGGCAGGTGCCTGCAATGGTGTTCTAAATAATTGTTGTAGACCTTGGGAACGCTTAGAGCATGTTACTCTGCAGAGAGACATGGTGGCAGCTTTCACAATTAAGAGCCACTGTTTTTGTGAGGACAAAGGTGGAAAATCCATTTAACTAGCAAGAGGAGATTTTCTTTGGGTCTTGCCAGATAGGTCATGTTTTATGTTAGTTTCTTTCTATTATGCACAAGCTGCTTATGTTGTTTCAGACACTGAACACGCAATAAACCAAAACCGTTGTGTGGACTCTCACTACCTGTTACGTCTCGAGTATCGATGTTTTTTCTGGTACTCGCCAATACTGATACTGGACGTCCCATTAGGGGGTCCGGCGGCTTGTAGTGACTCGCCGCCCGACTTCCTGATTAGCCAGAAAGCCAGCTCCATGCTCCCTTGTCACCAGGTGATAATGACTTGCTGCCCGGCTTCCTGATTGGCCGGGAAGCCGGCTCCATCCTCCCTCGTGACGGGGAGCATGGAGCTGGTTACCCGGCCAATCAGAAAGATGGGGGTAGAGAAGCCGGGCGGCATTTAATGACTTGCCGCCCGTCATCCTGATACCGGAAGTTCCTGTATAGGGATGAGCATTAGGAGCATTTGTGCGAGTACGAGTACTCTCCAAAATACTCAGTATCGGTGCATCCCTACTACCTGTACATATAAACTCCCCACTAGAGACATTTTACTCAAGTGACATTTGACATGGGTTGCTGCACTTTAAAAGATAAGTGCAGTATAAAACAAAGTGCATTGACTCCCTTTGCCCGTTTACACTGCATTCATTGAAAAAACAATGAACAGGCTGGGTTTTTCAGAGCTCTTTCTTGAATAAATGGCAAGATTAAAATACAGTGATGAATACACAATTACTTTTCTTCTATCCTTGCATTTATAAACTTAAAGACCTTCATGGAGTGGACTTTCAACATAATGTTAGTTTTGGAGAGACATAGGTATACATGTGCATTTTTCAGACATGAAAGAAAACATTTTGGTTGGAAAAACAAAAGACTCGCCAAGTGAGAGGACCACTACTTGTTAGTTGGAGTGGATTCTGTACAGAATTGTTGCTAGTCTTGTCTGCATAACTACACCTCCATTTGTGTTTTTCCTATGTTTCTGAGCTCTTCATTAAATGGCCCCCTACTCCCATTTGTAAATGTTGGCAGACAAATAGCGAGGCCCTGTTCTCCGCCAGGAGGGGCTCTAAGACGACGCATGGGGGACAGGAAGCTGAAAGTTAGGCCCAATGAAAAATATACATTTCAAATGCAAATCATGCCCAGTGTGCCCAGGGAGGGGGGATTTGTGTTAAAGGTTAGGCCCAGCATGGAATGCACCCTGTAGAGGAACAAATATGAGTGCAGTGCTTCTCTCACACAATTAATTGGGCTCTGGGATCTAATGAAACCTCGCATTCAGGTGTCAAAGGCATTTTTGCTCTGATGGGCACAAAATGGAATGAACTGCAATGGAGGTGACGTAATTTAACTCCTGTTTCTTCCAGAGTCTTATCAATCTAAATATATATTTTAATTAACTGTGTTGTTGGAGTGAATTTAAGGCTAGGCTTGTATATACACATATGGAATTGGCTTTACTGTACACCCAGAAAGGCTTTTTATTTTTTTGGGCAAATATGGCTTCAGGTGCAGGCATGACAGATCCATGAATCTCTTCAGCTGTTAAGCACAGATACCAGAATACCCTGCATACAGAATTAGCTCAGTGGTGGTTGGGGTCTACCTACACGATCTTCTGACCTTTTCATTAGAAACAATTATCCCCTTGAGTGCTTTTTATCTATTGCATGTAGCCACTGGATAGTGAGTGCCAGAGACGTTTTCCATATAGAAATACATTATTTTATATCTCAATTTTAGAAACTGGTTTTAGAGTTTTTAAAATGTCCAATAATCTGCTGACTTTCACTCTTTTTCTGACACAATCATTTTCTGCCTGTGTATGGTCAAACTGCCACATGTCTAAACCAGGAGAGCATGGACAATGACAGTCTGGCTCCAAATATGGGTCTTTTAATTGGTAGAGGATATTGCATAATGTTTAAGCAGCTTCTTTGTTTGCCATTGAATGGAAAGCACAGCTAGAAAAAGAGGCTGTTTAAAAATGTGAGTTGTGACGCTTTATATCATAGATGTGATTGTCTCACACATTGCTGTATTTGACTTTTCACACACGGAATCAGCGGGATGAAACAGAGTAGTTGCTGTTGGTTTAATTACTCAAAGGATCAAAATTCAGATCAGGTTTGGAAAAATTCCAGAACCTGGGAAGAGGAGGGAACGTGCAACTAATACAGTTACTGATGGCCCTAGGCATGAGATGATCATCAACCTATTGGGCGACTTTTGTCTAGATAATGATGGTTTTGAGATGCAACGGACAACCTGTTCATAGGGAAATTACAATCGGGCATCTTTGATATTTTTATTGGCCTGCCTTCATTTAAAGTTCACTTAGCAGCAGCCATATGTTAAAGGTGGAGACTTGCACTTCAAACGGTTTTGACACGTTGTTGTAACAAAAAGGAAGCCCATAGGACAGGAAAGCATTGCATGGGGATATCCTGTTAACACAGCAGCTGAAAATCAGATCATCAGAGCTGGACAGTTTTAGATGAGCTTTAATTGTGTTTTTAAAATGATTTTTTTTTTTTTTAAATCCTTACCTATTCCCACTAAATAGGCACCATGTTCTAAAAATAGTTGTACGTTCAGTGATCTAGTTCATATTGATTTTTGGTTTTACTTGTGATCAGATTAATATTTGCGTGTAGTTTGTCATTTCCACCAAGCCTTCATTTCTTCTGATAGCATTTACACTATTTGACCAAAATTTTTTGGACACCTGACAATTACACCTATATGGACCTTTTTGGACATCATATTAATATAGCGTTGTCTAGTCCTTTGCAGCTGTAACAGTCTACACTCTTCTCGGGTGACTTTCCACAAGATTTTGTAGCCATTTAAGCCAAAAGAGCATTTGTGGGGTCCAGTACTTATGTTGGATGAGAAGACCTGGCTTCTAATTGGTGTTCCGATTCATCACGAAGGTGTTACACCTCAGTTTCTCGACACCAATTTGTCAAACCACGTTTTTATGGAGCTGGCTTTGTGCACATTGGCACATTTACTACAACGTTGAAAATGTGCAGTTGTCTAAAATGTCTTTGCTGTAAAATGAACAATACCTTTCTCTGGATTCACCTAAACTCAATTTGTCAGGATGTCCACATACGTTTGGCCATATAGTGCATATCTTATTGTCCAAGTTAAGGGTTATAACATGGCAGGTCCTAAAGGTATTCAGGAATGGAATGAAGTTTTACTTCCTGTTCTTGTCGAAACAAATTCTATGTTCATATTCTGTTGTTGTATTTATAAAACTTTCACTGACTCTTGCTAGGAGCAGGAATGTTTGGAGGCCCACGCATGCACAGAAATGTCCTATTATGAATTAACAATGATTGTATCATAGTCGGTGTGACAGAATCAAAATGCACTATATCTTTATCGTGGACGTAGAGGAACACTTAAATGATGAGTATCTATATTTAGAGTGAATTAGCTAATGTTTATGGCAGGAAGTCAGAGCACTGGCTCCCCTATACTTTGTTCACGCTCAAGGCACTGGTAATTGTGTGCATGCACACTTTCTTTCTTAGGTGCATCTTTTTATTGATCAACCCATTTGTTCAGGAAATTATTTCCTTGTTTTTAGCCTGTCAGCCCGTCACCAGTCAGAAAGATTACAAGAGTTTGTCTGATTACTGTTATTACTGGCATCAGGATTGCCTCTGTACGGCCCCTCCTTTTGAATGCTTCTGTTGAAAGATGCAACTAGTCCAGGAGACATCGTGGGGTGTTTAGATTTAATTTTTTAATGTCTATGACTAGCTCTAATGTCAAACAACCAACCTAGCTTTAAACGTCACCCTTCACCTTAAAATAACTCCTAAACCTAACCTTTAAGCCTAATGCAACCCCTAAGCCCAAACCTTACTTTTAAACTACCCTTAATACTGACCTTTAAAGTAAATCTGTCACAAACTTGGGCAATTCAAGCTGGGCATATTATTAAAATCAAATGCAAAAGTAGAACTTAGTCTGTAAAACCCTATGTCCAGACCATTATGAGCTCCAGAGATGTAGACAGCTGGAATAATGTGCAATTCTCAAACTTTTCCTGTAAGTCAAGTTTGGCCTTGTCCACTCCTCCTTATTGCCATTTAATATGTTGTCCAGCCTCCATAATCAATAGTTTGGCTTGAAGGGCATTTGGGGCACCACGCCAATCCAAATTGTTAATGAAAAAGTAAAGAGTTGCATATAACTTCAGCTAGTAAATCCCATTATCTCTGGATCTACTGTTCATTTTTATGTTTTTTGTTTTTTTTTACTAAAGGAACTTTTTAATTATATTGTTAGTTTGAATTGTCTCTGTTTCAAGCAAGGTAAGATGCAATCCTTGTGTCTGCAGTAGAATCATCTCATATAGAGATATTTATAAAGTAAGTGTACCTGCATGGTAACAGAACATTTGTGTTTCCAGTGTAGCTGATTTAACTACTCCCAGTCCTAAAATAGTCGTTTTTGTAGTCTTCTCTCTTCCATAGAAATAGCAGTGGTTAGCATCTGTGCAGTTAATCAGTACTTAGGAGAGGGGGAGAGGAGGCAAACTCCTTTGGTGATCTCTTATTAATATGCCTTTTTTATGTCTGTCATTTGCAGGCCGATGCCAAAATGGTGTGTGACGTGGTGAGTCGCATGGAAGATACAGAACCTTTCTCTCCTGAACTGCTCTCGGCTATGATGAGACTTTGGGCAGATTCTGGAATCCAGGAGTGCTTCAACCGATCCAGAGAATATCAGCTTAACGACTCTGCTAAATAGTATGTAGCCAATTTATGTGGTAAAATGAATGGTTTTGTCAGAGCAGAATGGGGGTTTTACACGCAGATGTAATGAGAGACAGTATTTTACTCCTAATAGGTGAAGAATGTCATTAGTAATGGTTAGCAGAATTCAGCCAAAATTATTTGGATGGGATCTTTTGAGTAGACCTATGGCGTACAACATGACTTGAGTCCAGGAAAAGAGGTGCTTTAGGCATTTTCTTGTGATGGCCCCAAATGTCAGTTTTCTGTTTTCTGAGGTCACCACTCTCAACTTGATGTTTGGGGCCTAAAAGCTGTGCATTTCAATAGGATCCGCAATAAATGTATTGGGGTATTTCTTTTGGTCTCCTGACTCGTAGGTTGCACACCTGGGATCACAGAGTGTGTGGCACGAAAAAGTTAATTTCTTAATCATAAACAGGATGGAAAGTAAGGGACACATGATTAAATAATTCAGGTACATCAGGGTATGTTACTGCCTTTTGGAGACCAGGCACTGGGAAACAAAGCTGTAAGCCAGCTTACTATAACCCCTCCCACTCCCATCATGCTCCAGTTTTTTTGCTAGTTTCTTAGGGGAACGAATTTCCTCTCTGCTCTGAGAGAAGTAAACTCTGTCTTTACTTTTTATCTAGAGTAATTTTTCTTCCAGCAGATTTCTACAGTAGCTTCAGAGCGCTTTGCAGGTGCAGGGCTGTGGTATACCCACCTGGTTGGAACACTATCCCTGGAGGAGGATGAAGCTATGCAGAATGGGGCGTGTCCCCAGCATCCTCTCTCTATCCGCAGCATATCTGTGTGGGAACCACATGGCTTCTCAGGACTCAGGACTTCAGCTGCATTAAGTCAGGGCTGTCAGCCCTGGAAAAATGGAGGAGGGGAATCCCTGCGGGGAGCAGTGACTGACGGTCGCTGCTCTCTGCAGGGAGAAGATCGTGAACTGAGCAATCAAGCGGTTTGTGATTGCTTAGTTCTCGATCTATAGAGCCGGCATGTAACCGCTGCAGTGTCACATTTCGGCTCTAACTATGGGAATGAGTGCATTTCACTCTCCCCATAGGTCTCCCTTAAGGATACTATCGTGGTCCTTTTTGATGCAGTCTCCACATGCCTAGACTTAGAACTGCCTGTGTCTGCACTAGCCTGGGTTCTCCTAAAAGCTTCTAGCCTGTTAAAACTTTTCCATGACCCGCGCCATCAGACACCAACTGCCTACAAGTGCATCCTCCTTTGTGAAGTGGCAGAAAGGTAGAATTATGTAGAACTATTTTAGGTAGAAAAATTAGGTAGAACTATTTTCCTGGTTCCCTGCAGAAGTATAAAGGTTTTAGCTGCCCCACTCCCCGGAGCTCCTATCTAGGATGTCTATTGGACTATTTGGCTTTAGATGCTGAAGAGTCAGCATGTTAGAAAATGTCTTCTCTTTCAGCGGTGCTATTGGGGAGATTTCTCTGCTTGAGTTCCTAGGTCTGTACACCGACTATGGCCATAATATGGAGTTCATGCTTTGTCTATTGATTTAATAATTCTATTTTATGGAAAATGCAATAGAAAGTGTTGAAATAGATAAATGTGGGCAGGAGGAAAATTGGAAATTTCCCTGTCAGTAGATCCATGGCATATAAGATGCCAGAAGCTGAACTGGCCCACTGGACTTATACTCTAACAAATATATTAATTTTAAATTAACTGTATTAATAAGGAATCGGGCCACCTAAAGTGTACACTTCATTTTGTGGTAGTTAATGGGGAGGCAGATCAACCTCGGGTCCCTTTTTTGTTTTAAATTCCATTCTGGAACCTCACTTTGAGTTTCCCTATCTGCCTAACTGTTGCTGTCATGTAGAACAGCGGTCACCAACCTATGGTCCACGGACCACTTTTGGTCCGTGAGAAACTTTTGGTGGTCTGCAATTGCCCCCCCCCCCTCCCCCCCGGCCCCTCTGATGCCGTGCAGGCTGGGCTGTCATTGAAGCGGCACG